GAACATTAGATATTAAACTATTATATTAATATTCTATATTCTATATATTGTTAACATTATTAAAATCATTCTAATGTTATTCGAATGGTTGTTATTATAGAAATGACTTCAAATGCTGAGAAATATAAAGTAAAAGATTGAGCCTGTAATTTTTTTTTATCCTCTTTTTGGAAAGCACTATTTTCTTCTTTCTTTTTTCTCTTAGTTTTCTAACTGTTGTTTTTTAAAATATTTTAATGTAATAATAATTTTAATTAAATTCTTAGCACAAATTTGTATTTTTTGGCCTTTGGGCTCCAATCGTGTGTGTGTGTGTGTGTGTGTGTTACCATTCAAGAGACAGATGAGAGACTCTCTCTAATGGCCCCTACACCTGCCAGAGACACAACTGTTGTGAACTCCAGCCTCATCAGGAAAACACAAGGTTGTGTCTGTTCAGTCAACCCAACCCATCCTTGGAGCAAAAGGCGGCTACCTCTGGAAACAGCCACTTTGGCCTAGGAGTTCAGAGCACCTCGGTTACTAGTTGTGGCACAATCACAAGACCAGCTGGTGACGTTGGGGCAGGCTTCCCCCTCAGCACTAGGAGGAAACCACATCCGGAAACAGGGCCTGAGAAAAGATCAAAGCTTCCTTGAAGACCAAAAAAAAAAAAAAAGGAAAAGAAAGAAAGAAAGGAAAATACTAATACATACATCTAAGCTGCAATAATCCTAAAACTATTAGATGGGAGCAGAGTTGGAGTTTTTATGTAGTTCTGCATTACTGCCCAGGGATCAAATCTTGATTTTTTTCCCCCCCAGTTTACTGTATGTTTAAACCTAACCACAGCATAAATGTGCCTTACAACATCTTTTTTTTCCGTCACAACTTGTAACTTTCCTTTTGTCTCATACTGTTGTGGTTAGCCGGCAGCAGGTGCGGACGGCTGAAGAGAGCGAGGACTCAGAGGCAGCCGCCTTCAGAGATTGTGGGGGCTGGCAGGAGGGATGAGGAGGTTCCCAAGGAGCCTGTGCCAAGTGCTGGTGTGCGCAGGGCTGCTCGCAGGAAAGAACAGCTGCAGCAGCACGGGCAACTCAGGAGTAAGGCTGCAAGGTGATGGCCCCTCCTTCAAGAAGATAAAAGCCAGCTGTGAATCGGACGTTCTTTGCAGGAAGCAAAGACGTTTTGAAACTCGAGCCTCATGGACATTGCAGTATCTTAGTTGGTATTTGAAGACTCTTGTGTTGTAAAATATTTCTAGATAACCTTATCTGTTTTTCTTGGCAGCCTCGCACAGTTCTGGCAAGGCTTGTGCTCATCAAAGTTAATTAGTTTGCAGCAGCCTTTTAACCGGGGATTCGTAAGACTCGTTAAAAGGTTTCTGTTCCCTTTGGTTCGTGTTGGTTTTATTGGACAAGGGTTTGGGTCAGAACACATACTTAGACCAGTTGCCTTTAGATCTTCTGGCATTAAAGTCGTGATTTCCCCACTAACAACAAATCATGGCAGTTTTATGGACACACCACATTGATCATTCCTAGATTCATAGGATTGGAGGGAGGCTCAAGTAGCAGACCCTACACCAAAGGTCTTCAAACTTGGCAAGTTTAAGATTTGTGGACTTCAACTCCCAGAATTCCTGAGTTAACCTGACTGGAGAGGAATTCTGGGAATGCCATCATTGTGAGGTTGTTGTCCAATCTTTTCTTAAAGACCAGTGGTGGTGGAGCAGCACCAACAGCTCCAGGAGGCAAGACGTCCCACGGATTAATGGTTCTCGCTGTCAGGAAATTCCTGCTTATTTCTAGGCTGGATCTCTCTTTGATAAGCTTCCCCCCGCGGCTTCTTGTCCTGCCCTCGGCTGCTTTGGAGAGTAAGCCAACCTTCCCTCAAGTAGTGGAAGGTGGCTTTCGTGTCTCCTCTAAACCGTCTCTTCGTTAGACTGGATACCCCCAGTTCCTGCAACCGTCCATCGTCTGTTTCAGCCTTTGGCCCCCCAGACATCCTGGTTGCTCTTCTCTGCACTCTTTCTAGAGTCTCAGCATCTTTTTGGTATTGTGGTGTGCAAAACTGAGCGATGTGTTCCACGAATGGCCTCACTAGTGCAGTGTAAAGTGTTACTGCGACTTCTTGTGATCTTGATTCCATCCACCTGTTGACGCCGTTCAAGACTGCAATATCTTTTTTGGCCGCTGCAGCAACACACGGCTGGCTCATATCTGATTGTCCGTTAGGATTCCCAGATCCCTCTCACAGTTACTGCTATTGAGCCAAGGAGCACCCCTTCTTATACCTGTGCCTTTGTTTCTTCTTGCCTAAGCATAAAACATCTATGGAAATTGTTTATGGAGATTCTCAGTCCTCCAGGTGATACGTGTCCCAGAGGTGCTTTTTCAAGAGGCAACTGGACTTTCTGGTTTTTTTTTTTTTTTGGAAGACTAAAGGCTAAAAGGATGCAAATGACCAGCTGTCTGCAAGGAATCATAAATCCTTCCATTGCCCCCCATCCAGTCAGAGCTGAAGAAGCTTCTTGGATGGGAAGCAAAACGTCTTCAAAGAAAAACCAGAAAGTCCAGTTGCCTCTTTGGGACACCTATGGAAATTCTCAGTCCTCCAGGTGATGGTCGTCTCAAGGTGCTTTTTCAAATGGCAACTGGGCTGTGTTTTTCCTTGAAGAACAAGAAGACGTGTTGCTTCTTATCCAAGAAGCTTCATCAGCTCTGGCTGGGTGGTGGGGCGGGGGAGGGAGTCTGGAAGGGTTTGGAGATCCCCCCGTACCTTGAGGCCGTCTTCTGGGTGTTGGCTGTTCCTGCCAGGTTAATGTCAGATTAATGCAAATTTCATGAGTTCCTCATCTATGCCCTCGTCTCATCTTTCAGTCAGTTTTGAAGTCAAATGAGTCTGAAGAAAAGGATGCCGCTCAGGTGTGTCTAATCTTCCTACCTGCCTTTGATTTAGAAATATTCAACCAGAACATTTCTAAACTCTATTATTACGCTGGGAAATTTGATGATGAAAGCATGTTAAGAAGCAATAGCCATTATTCATAGGGCGACAGTTCATAGCCAAAAGTGTGCATTCTCTCACATGCACATTTCCTCTTCCTCTTCCCCTCACGTCATGAGAGAGAGAGGGAGGGAGGGAGGGAGGGAGGGGGTGGGGCATTCCCTTAGATTGACAAGCCAGGTGTCCTTAAAAGAGCACTGGCAAAGGAGGGGTCTGACACTGGAGGCCTTTGCTCAGGTGGAGGTGGAAGAGGGCCTGGAGCCAACATTGGGGAGTGGCTGGTCCCAAGAGGAAATCCACCGAGGAAAGAAGCCAAGCAACAGCAGTGACTCAGCAGAGATCCACTTCCTATCAAAACCACAAGCGAGTGACGCCACCACAAGACTCAACCTGGGAATGCCCAAAGACGATGCCAGCTCGACTAACAGCTTCCGCCCCAAGCTCGGCTCCTGATGGTGAGACCTTTGACCCAGAGAAGCCCAGGACTGGAGGGCAGCTGGTCAAGCAGAAGGGAAAGTCTCCCAGGCGGGAGAAGAAGCCCTGAGGGGCTCCAACCAAGCGTCGGGGGGGGGGGGGCTGCCCCATCTCCTCCCTCTGTTTGCTAGTTGCATAAATGTACTTTTGCAATTAGATTTCAGATTTTTTTCCCCACTTGAAAATCACCCTAAACATGAAGCCAAAAAGAATGATGGCACCTGTCTTAGCCTTTAAAACTCCTGTCGTTTGCTTGCTGGCTTGTTTATCTTTCATATTATTTGAACGTCCCATTTCCCTCCGAAAGGGATTCGGGGCCACGTTGTGCTGTTGACTCCCACATGGGAATTTTACTTTGGAGACAAAAGCCTCAACCTAGCAGTGCAATTTCACCACAACCTAATTACTCTTTTTACAGGAGTGGTGGATCCGTTGCAAAAGGTGTAATCTGGGACAGTGATTGGACTTCACGTTCCATCCCTCAGTCTTGGTTGATGAATCCAACGACAGTCCCACCAGTATTTCCACAAAGGAGGCCACCATCTGGCCAGGGGTGGGATTCAAATTTTTTAACAACCAATTCTGTGGGTGTCGCTTAGGCGGTGGACATGGCTTGGTGGTCATGTTATTGGCTGGGCGTGGCCAACTCAACATCACTCACATCAAGGCACGCATCTCCTCGCCTGGCCTCTCGTGAATGTGGGGATGCTGCAACAGTCATAAGTGTGAAAAATGGTCCTAAGTCATTTTTTTCAGTGCCATTGTAACTTTGAATGGTCCCTCCACACAAGCAAAGTACCAGCAAAGGAGAGGAAAAAAAACTCCAGAGAAGTTCCTGAGACAGGAAGTCTAGTCCTGCTAATAATGTAATAAGGGTTAACGGAGAGGCAGTTTCTGTAAGCAACACCAGAATGTTTCCTTCCTGCCTTCCTTACAGGATTAGGCCAGTAATTTCTTCTAACAACTGGTTCTCCGAACTGCTTAGAATGTTAACAACCAGTTCTAGCGAATAGGTGCGAACTGGTAGAATCCCACCCCTGCATCTGGCAAGTAATCTAGGAGTATTGTAATCAATTGGGAGCATGTTTCATTCCTGTGAGCAATTCCAGGAATGGGGTCAGGACAAACAAAGACAAAAACCTCCCACCTGATTCAAGCAAAGTTAAATTCTACTGCACGAGGTTCACCCAATGCAGCCTCTGCCTACAATTGATCCCAGCATGGTGTGGGTACTACGGAATAATACAACGGCCTTCACGGATGGCAACAGCACTTTGGCAGTCAACAGGCTCTTTCAGCGGTGATGTGGGTAATGTCCCACAGGCCAGGGAACTCTTCAATGGCTGCACACCTGCAACTGAGCACCTCTTACGGGCCACCTCCAGCAATGGAGGAGTGAAGGCAGAAGCTGCTGAGCTGGATGCCCTGGTAATCTGCTGCTTGCAAAGGCCCAGAGGCACCTCTGATTATGTTGAGCTGGCAAGACTCAGCATGGGTTGGGCCTTGGCAATGAAGTCATAATTTTCCTGCAGTTCACACAGAATATCCAAACACGCACCATTGCTTTCAATAATTTCCCAGATGTCTTTATGCAAAGTTCTATTGTTTTTAAGGATTTCTCCATTTTTCACAATCAACAATTGACCGCATCCTGTTCTTAGAAACAGAGAAACTTCCCCTTCACCAGCTGCACAACGGATATAAAGGGTTTCCCCAGGAGACCAGAAGCCAATTTGAAGAGGAGAAGAGATCGGGAAGAAATCCGCCAGCCTTTTTCTGCAGGTACTAAGTTTACCCTGAATTGTCTGTCTCTGTGTTTGCCTTTTCATGTTTGCTCTAGATAACAAGCAAAGGTCTCTTCTGAGAAGCCAGATGAAAGACACCCTTCAATGAACGTGGGTGTAATCTCTGGCTCCAGGGGCCCTTCTGCGCTAACCGTGATAAATTGACTGTCAGGAAGAAGGGGAAAGTCGCTGACTCACTTTCCTTTCCTGTGCTTCACAGCCCCAGCAAGATGCAGTTCTGTGCAGTAGACCAGCCGTACCTGACAACGGTAAGTTGCTCGACCATCTTCTTCTGGAACAGAAGAAGCTCCTCTGCTCAGACAAGGACTTTTGGCAGGTCCTTCGTCAGCATTCGGCTGGAACTGCAAACCTGGGCATTTCCAAGCCACTTTGTACTCCAAGGAGTATCTGGAGCTCAGCTGTAGCTTTTCAATGTGATGGACCAGCCTCTTTCCCAGCCTCTCCCTGTTCCTGAAGGATGGGAGGAGGAAAGAGCTCAGGCCAAGATTAGACTCAGCATCTCGGGAACATGACTGGCTATTTTTCACATTCCAAGTATGGTCAAAAATCCCCCATCGCTAGGATCCCCGATAACTTGCCCCAAAAGATGCAAATGAGTCTAGCCCCCCCCCCCCCACCAATAGGGAGCCCATGAATGGCATCCTATTCCTTGTGGCCATTTCAGCCATCTTGTCTTATTGCCTGAAAGCCACAATCCATCACAATCAGGGACCTAACTTTCTGAAAGTGTGAATCGGCCGCATGCTGGGTTTGGGTGGCCAGGCTTCAGCTGAAGGCCTTGCAGTCATGATCTTCCTTTTTTAACTTGCTACCATATTTATTGTCTATGAACAATAGACCTTAATGGGTCTAATGTGTGTGTGTGTGTGTGTGTGTGTGTATTAAATATAGATCACCGAGTTTATAAAAATGATAGCTGTATTTTATCTCCCTGGTTTGAAGGAAGGTTTGAAGGAAGTTGGCTGGGAAAGAACTTGGCTCCTGTTCCTTTGAAGGGAGAAAACTTTGATTTTAAAAATCTCCCGCTCATTTCTCTCTTGCCACAGAAAGCCTTCCAAACCAGCAAGGTGGATATCCAGGTAGCAGCGACCAAGAATGAGCCCCTGAAGAGCTTCAGGAAGGCGGTGCTGATTGTCATTGCGAGTGAGACCCTGAGGAAGTGTCCTGCCAGGCTCTTCTCGGATGAGGATCTGTTGGACATTCTAAGCACAATCTTAGGTAGAGTTGCAATCATCAAACGCCCACTCAGTGTTTTGTGGCTGTAAGAAATCCCTTCCAGCGGACTGTTATCTCTCAGAGCAAACAAGCAGTAGGACAACTACGAGATCCCAATTTGGAGCACGGAAGCTCACGCTGTCTTTGCCCTGTTGCTCTTTATACCAAAGGGCAGCAAGGCCGAGAAAATACAGCCTGTTAAGGGTTGCTCCAGCGACTGTAATGATAGTTATCGTGGACCACGTAGATTCAGCTTGTAAAACGAGTGAGTGTTAGGAAAAAGTATCTGACAGCTGAACGCTTAGGATTTTGTTTCAACAATCTTCTAGAGGGTTAGAAAACTTATCTATCTTGTGGAGGAATAATTCTACTTAAACTACGAGAGTGAAGTGAGAGCTTTCCCCGAACTTGTCCTCTCCATCGCCTTACTACCAATTTTAAGGCTAGCAGGCTCAGCCGCTCTTGGAGGAGGGCAGAATCTCCAAAGTCCTTTGGGCTGAACTTGCGGGCGATTCGGTGGTGGCAACATCAACAGTTGCCTTAAGGGGGGAAACGGAATAAATCAAACGAGAATGTTTTCCCCTATTCAGAACCGGTCACTTTCGACATCAGCAGCTCCACCGAAGCCACCAGTTCCATCTATCACTTCTGGAAGAATATCGTCTACAACATCCAAGATACTGACCACAAGTCCTTCGTCTTCAAGGAGCCGGCACAGTTGGTGGCCATGCACCTTCAGGGCCTCAACATGGAACAAGCAGGTGAAGCCCAGTGGCTACCTCTCCCCTGCCAGGCTGAATTAGGGGGGCAACCCAGTTCTCTGGGTCCAGCCAAACAGAAAGCGGTAATTTTCACCACTGGCTTTATTTTTATTTTTTTTCAGTGAAGTTAAAGATGTCTGTGTATCGTCCCAAAATCGAGGCTGGAACTCCAAAGGTCCCTGTGGTCTTGAGCATCCAGAGGGGGAGGTTTTATATTTCTTGCGTATCGAAAGATGGACAGCCGGTGCTGCAGTTGGAGGTCAGTTGCTCCGTCGCAGGGGTGGGATTCGACATTGCTTTTGCTCCCGGTTCTGTGATCGTGGCGCGGTGGGTGTGGCATGGTGGGAGTTTCAATTCTGGGAGTTGAAGTCCGCCAGGCTTGAAGTGGCCAAGGTGGGCGAGCCCTGGGCTACAGCAAGCCCACCACCCTCGGTATAGGCCCCAATGTAGACCATCCACTCCTCCCGGGCTGCACTCCGAGCATTAACCCAGGTTTCTTCCTCCTGCAGGAAGCCACCATCCAAGGGAACCTGGACAAATCTCAGCTGGGCCGTTTCCTTTTCTACAAAATTGAGAACGGGAAGCACACCCGGTTCGAATCCGCCGAGTGCCCAGAATGGTTCATCTGCACCTCCAGCCAGAATGACGAGGCCGTTGCCATGACCAAGCAGCCTGGGGGCCCTCGGGTCATCGTGGATTACAGCCTCACCAGCTAGTGGACCGAGACTCCAGACTTCGCCAGGCTCCCGGATCTCTTGGCCAGGCAAAGCAACAACGCAGGACGTCTCCATTGTCGGGGACCTTTTCTTTGGCTGGAAAGTCTTACTGCAAACTGAGGGGGGGGGTGTCATTGGTGGGATTCAACTTTTTTGCTACAGGTTCTGTGGGCGAGGCTTGGTGGGCGTGGCAGGGGAAGGATATATTGCAAAATCCCCCTTCCCTTCCCTCCCCACCCCACTAACCTGCTTTCCAGCTCTGTCCTCCTGTGCAGGGCAACCAAAGGAAACCCAGCTGATCAGCTGGGACTCGATGGGAGGCAGAGAAGAGATGGGGTTGGCGGGGCCAGTCAGAGATGGGATTGGCCGGTTCTCCCAACTACTTAAAGTTTCCGCTCCCAGTTCTCCAGAACTGGTCAGCATCGGCTGAAGGCCACCTCTAGTGTGTGATAATATTTAATGTATATATTTATTAATAATTTAATAAATATTTGCCGGGTTTTTTTACCAGTGTATATGATGATAAATTAAGTTTTATACTGAAGCCTTTGTTAATATTTTAATAAATAATTTTTGATAGATTGACCTTGGAGTCCATTTGTACAGAGAATCCCCCATTCTTTGTGCTCCAAATTAAGAGTGGGGGGGTGGGGGGGGGTGGAGACACAAAAGCTCAGCCAGCAGCAGGGGGCTGCAAGAGGCTCCTTGGGGGGGAGGGGGACCCCACACCCTGTTCCGCCGAGGTCTCTCCTGGCTTGACCCCTCCAGAGTGAGGCCACATCTCAGGATTCCCGCAGTTACTCCACTTCAATCCTGAGCCTCGAGCCACACTCCCCAAACTAAAGAGGATTTATTTGAAGCTACCTTTCTACGTCCGGCACTAACCTGGGCATAGCCGACTTTGAGATACGTAATTCACTGTCACCCTTGATCCTGCTCTTCCCCCCCCCCCGGGTGTATCATCCAACGAAACACGTCCATAGCCAAGAGTCATCAATCCTGCTCTCCAATTAGATTTTTGCATGCAGAAGCTTCAGTCATCTAGTCAGTCTTTGAAGAAAATATGAAGGGAAGGTACTTTGAATTCCACACTGCCGCCTGCTGTTTGAAACTCCCCGGCTTCTTTCTGTTGTCAACTATAAAATGTGTTTATAAAATGTTTTTTGAGTTGACACCACGGCTGCCTCCGGCCAGATGGAGAAAAGCCAGGGGCCAAATGGGGTGAGGGGCACCACCCTGCATTCCTCCAGCCAAGGGTCAAATTGGAAAAGGAATCACTGATTTCTCATCGCCCTGGCCTGGGGAAGATGGAAAACCATGTCTTTACTGGCTGACTCATAGTAGTGATGGTTGCAGCGTCCCAGGGTGATGTGGTCCCCATTTGCGACTGTCTGACAAGGAAAGTCAATGAGGAAACCAAATTTGCTTAACAACTGCATTTCTAATTTAACAACTGCATGTTTCACTTAACAACAATAGCATGAAATTGGGGCAAAATTCATGCAACAAACGTTTTGCTTAAAGACATAAATTTGGGGCTCCCTTGTGGTCGGACATTGAGGATGGCTGGGATATGATAAAGCACTAAGATATTTATTGAAAGCAGCTAAAATGAAAACGGCAGAAAAAATACAGAGACCACATGGCTTGAAAAACAGTGTTTAATGCTACTTGCAAGGTTCAATGCAGAACTCAATGCAAAGGAAGAAGGGAGGAGTCTTCTGGCTTGAGAATAATCCGGTCTGGGTCTTTAGAAGCACTTCCGGTGTACAATTGAAGGGCCGGCTTCGTCATATTCTGGTTTGCTTATCCACATTTGCTGGAAGGTGGAGAGAGAGGCCAGAATGGAGCCTCCAATCCAAACAGAATATTTGCGCTCAGGAGGAGCAATGATCTGTGGAAAGATTTCCAAAGCGGTTACGAGTGAGCAAGAAGAATACAGATCTCACGTTTCAGGGGTAGAGAAACCCAGATCCATGAGAACAGCTGTCCTACAAAAGGTATGAATGCCATGTAAAAGAGGGAGAAAAGGAAGGAAGGAAGGAAGGAAGGAAGGAAGGAAGGAAGGAAGGAAGGAAGGAAGGAAGGAAGGAAAAGAAAGAGGAAGGAAGGAAGGAAGGAAGGAAGGAAGGAAGGAAAAGAAAGAGGAAGGAAGGAAGGAAGGAAGGAAGGAAGGAAGGAAGGAAGGAAGGAAGGAAGGAAGGAAAAGAAAGAAAGAAAGAAAGATAGAAAGAAAGAAAGAAAGAAAGAAAGAAAGAAAGAAAGAAAGAAAGAAAGAAAGAAAGAAAGAAAGAAA